GTTTTCCAGATGCTTTTGAATGGGTCAAATGACCTTGTTTGTTTGAGGGCAGCTCAGGGAGGAAGGAGAGCCTGGAAGCACAGCTGGCCCACCGGGCCCCCAAGGTCTGCCTTTTACTGTCCATTCCTGGCTCTCTCGCTCCCGGAGCTGCTCATGAGCCAGCAGGGTGCAAGCCTTAGGCTGGAAATCAAGAGATCTGGGCTCAAGCAGAGACAAACTAGCTTTTCTGGTGCTCCGGGGAAGTAGAGCTGAGAGAGAAGCATCTTTGGATGCAGTGTCCCATGATGGAAGAGACCCTGAACGGAGTCCTGTGTTTAGGGGACCTCAGGCCATTGGGAGGCCCCTGCTGGGGAGCCTCTCCCCAGAGGAGGGAGCAAGTGGGACTGCAGCGGAGCTCCCCCGGGGTACAGTGACTCCAGAGGAGAAAGCCACCAGCTGCTAGCTTCCCATCTTACCTACTTTTATTAACTGTCTTAAAGCAAGCTTATTTCCTCCCCTAGTTGTTAAAGGAGTACAACGCTGGTAGAACCCTGCCAACTTCACCTGCCAAGTATAAAGCTATGGATGCCCTGCTTGAGCTACAGCTCTGGGGCCAGCTCAGGAAATTTGGACCTTGGGCAAGCAATGTCTCTTCTCAGAGCCTCAGTTTCCCTGGCTGTAAAATGGTGTTGACTAATCTTTGTACCAATGATCGACCAGGGCTGTTGAGGATAAAACAAACTTGTCAAAGCACTTGCTGTGGAGGTGGGGGTGGTAGATAGAAAATTTCGATCTGCCGCACTCACCCCCTTCTTCACCAGTGTAATAAGAGGAAGTAACCTCAACAATTAGCATTTATGTGGCACTTCAAGGTTTACAAATCACTTTACATATTTTATCTGGAAGAAGCAACTTTTGAGATGGCCTTTGAAGAACCGGTAGGATGTTAGCATGTGAATGGGGGGGAGACCTTGGGCAGGCCCAGCTTAGGCAAAGAAAGGCTTTGGGGTGTACTCAAGGGCCAGGGTCCTGCTTTTCTGGAGCAAAGAGGGGAGGAACGTGATATCAGGTAGGAAAGGCAGGCTGGAGCCAGTTTGTGGAGGGCTTCTGCTACACAGATGAGAAATCTTAACTACAGCTGGTTTGTGATAGGGAGCCAGGGAAGATTTCTGGTCAGATCTGTGCATGAGAAAGATAATTTGAGCCATGGAAAGAAGCAAGGACAAAGTGGAGATGGGAAGACCTGGTAGGCATGGGTGGCAATGTCTAGGCAGGTGGTTATGAGCACCTGTATGTGTGATGGTAGGGGTCCTGGGAAGAGAGAGGAGGGTGTGATATGTAACTAGAAAGCCCAGCGTTCTCAACATGAGAACACCCCTTCTTAGGGAGACACCTCAGTCACCCAGCTTAGCAGGTATCCCAGGGCTTCAGACACTGTAGAGAACAGGGAATTCTACTGTGAAAGAGGAATCAGGGTCATCTGGCAGATTTATGAAGCATCCCATTTCTGATCCCCCGGTGTGGCCCCTGCAGAACTCTGCCCTCCCATCCCAGCCCTCCTCTTCCTGTCAGCCATCCAGATTTATGTTCTGGGTCCTGTCTTGCCAGCCTCCAAAGTGCTTTATGTAGATCAAGGAATGCAGACTCGTTCTTGCTAAGACGGGAATCACCGGTGGTTGGTTTTCCCTCCAGAAGTATTAACATGGAGCCTCTATGCTTTGGCCCAAAGGAGGGAGTCATGAGAGAACTGATAAGGAGCTAGTTGGAGGATAGGGAGACAGCTCCAAGAGACAGCCCTGACCCTGTCCTTGGGACAATCCCAGAAAGAGTGACTTGCTTCTCAGACAAGTGTCCCCTTCCCCTGCATGGGACAAGAAGACTACCTGACTTCCATGATGGAACCTCCTCAGGTCCCTGGAGCGGGGTGTGGTCCAGCCTTAGAAATACTGCTTCCCAGGAACGGTAACTGTGTTTATGCCCTATTGCTACTGAGAGCCGGATAGAATTTAGGATATTAAACAGACCATCAAAGCAGGAGTAGGTCTTAGAACATAGAACATGGAGTATCAGAGCTGGGATGGACTGTAGAGCTGGAAGGGGCCTTAGAACATAAAATGTCAGAGATAGAAGGGACATTGAACATAGAACATAGAATGTCAGACTTGGGGGTGGGTCTTAGAATAGAGAATATCTGAGCTGGGAGGGGCCTTAGAACATCAGAGCTAGGGAGAACCTTAGAACAGAGGATGTCAGAGCTGAGGGTCCCTTAGAATAGGGAATGTCAGGGCTGGTAAGGGCCTTAGAGCAGAGATTGTCAAGAGTTGGGGCACCCTCAGAACAAAGAGTGTCAGAGCTGGGAGGGGGCCCTAGAACTGAGGACAGACTCCTAGAGTCCAGAGAGACTTCTATAGAATATTTGGGTGGGGGGGTAGCATGGGCAGGAATAGTTCTCTTGGCTTCCTGCATCTGGGTGGCAGATGTGAACCCTGCCTCCCCCACCCCCACATGGCACTGAGGTAGGCAGGTCCAGCGCTCATTCCAACTTTACCAGGCTTAGTGATGATCCTGCCATTTCTTGCCCAAGCAGGGACATGTAATGTGCTCTGAAGTCTCGGGATGAAATGAGGAGAGATGGCTAACTCTAGACTCACAGAATGTCAATGGCACCAGCCTCATGTTCAGAGGGCCTCAGGTCACACAGTCAGTCAGTGGCAGAACCAGGACCAGAATCGCAGGCTATTTCATGGTCATGATTCTGTGTTCCTTAGGGGGAAAGTCCTGCAGAGTCAAGGTGATGGATACCCCAGGACAGCAGCCTTGGGGCTTGTCCAGAAAACACTGCTGAGGGACCAGGTCTCCCAGCCCTACTAGGTCCCTCACAGCTAGCCCCGTGGGGAGATGGGGTCTGACTGGATAATGTAGTAACCTGAACTATTGGAGATGGTCAAAGAAGGCTGGGCCAGAGGTCATACAGTCATTTATTCAATGACTATTCAGCACAGTGGGCAGTGGGGGTTACAGTGGATAGAGTGCTGGGCCATCTCTCTGAGTTCCAATCCAGCCTCAGACACTTAATAGCTGGGTGATGTCACCCTATTTGCCTCAATTTCCTCATCTGTCAAATGATCTGGAGAAGGACACGGCAAACCACACCAGTATCTTTGCCAAGAAAACTCCAAATACGGTCACGAAGAGCTGGGCATGACTGAGCAGCCTAAGCCGCAACAATTCAGCACAGGAGAGGTGATGAGACTGAAGTTTGGGTGAAAAGAGTCTGGGGGTCTTAATGGATTGCCAGCTCAACGTGAGGCAAGAGCGTCATGAGGCAGCTACCAATTGGATCTAACCATAGGCTGCACTAAGAGAGAAAGTGTGTCCAGGATTAGGAAGTCAGGGGAGAGGAGAGAGAGAGACAGACAGAGGGGGGAGAGAAAGAGAGACAGAGACAGATGGGGGAGAGAGACAGACAGAGAGAGGAGGGGGGAGAGAGACAGAGAGAGAGAGAGAGAGAGAGAGAGAGAGAGAGAGAGAGAGAGAGAGACAGAGACAGAGACAGAGACAGAGACAGAGACAGACAGAGGAGGGGAGAGAGACAGAGACAGAGACAGAGACAGAGGTGGTCCAGCCAAGTGGATAATTGTGGGGTTAGAGAAGGACTTTGATAAGTTGGATCATGTCTGGAGCAGGACAATCAGGATGGGGAGGGGACTGCAGACACCATACCAGGAGCAGCTGGAGGAACTGGGGACATCTGACCTGAAGAGAGGAGACCAAAGGCTTCGGTTCTCTGGAATGGGGTAGAGGAGGGAGATCTGAGTACTTCAGGGGCTTTGTGTGTGGGACAGGATTAGCCTTGGGCAGCTTAGGTTTGAGATACCAGGAGGGAGATTTTGGTTAGTTGTCAGGGGAGCTTTCCAAAATGGAAATAAGCTGCCTGCAGGGGCTGTCAACGGATGTGTTAAAGAAATGGATATTATCAGGAATGTTTGTGCGTCCAGCTCTGAGACTGAAGGAGACGAAGGCAGGAGTGTGTTTGTGCGTGTGTGCGTGTGTGTGTGTGTACGTGCGTATGCACGTGTATATGTGGGCCTAAGTTCCGATAAGTTCACTTAACCTTGGCAGTGTACCCTCCAGGGATGTCCACATTGATAACGAGGTTGATGCACACATTGCCTGAGCTAGCTCAGTGTTTGGGAGGCTCCGAAGCAAAGTGTGAGAGAGAAGAGGTGTTAGACTGCCTACCAAACTGAAGGTCTACATGGCTGTTGTGCTGACCTCATTGTTGTATGTCTATGAAACCTGGGCAGTCTACCAGCACCATGCCAGGAAACTGAATCGCTTCCATTTGAATTGTCTCAGGAAGATCCTGGCAGGAGAAGGGACACTGAGGTTCTCTCTCGAGCTGAAATGCCAAGCATTCAAACTGCTGCAGAGAGTGCAATTCCAATGGGCTGGCCATGTTGTCCTAATGTCAAACAGCACAGTTACCCAAAAAACTGTCTTATGTAGAACTCCCCCAGGGCAAGGGCTCACATGGTGGTCAGAAGAAGTGGTTTAGGGACACTCTCAAGGTCTCTCTGAAGAACTTTAATACTGACCGTGAGACATAGGAAACACTGGCACAGGACCGCCCAGTATGGCATGCCTGTGTCAGAGAGGGTACCGTACTCCATGAGCAAAGCAGAATTGTAGAAGCACAAAAGAAACCTGAGCTGGGCAAACAAACCCTGAGCCACTTCCACCCTACATGTTCTAAGGGACCACTTGTACTGATCTGTGGTGGAACCTTCCCAACTCTATTGGACTGATCAGCCACAGCCCCACCCGCTGGACCCTGACTCCAACGTTGTGATGTCATTGGTTTTCTTTGGAAACAGATTGACAAATGTGTGTGCATGTGTGCACGTGGGTGCATGTGCAATCAGAGGGCTCCACATAGGCCCTGGGAAGGATTCCGTTCCCCTTTTCCCCTCTTGTGTGGAGGCAGCTGGGACTCAATCTGTGCCTTTCCTTCCCGGCAGGTCCCAAGTACTCACGTGCTGTGCAGGATGGAGACAGCAAGGCGAGGATTGCACCATTGGTAAGTTGGGTCCCTGGCTGGTCTGGCCCCTCGAGGGGCCAGGATAGTGGGGGGTGTGCCCCTGGGTCACTAAGAGCCATAGGCAGCTCCTGCAACCCCCTCCTCACACATGCAACTGGGGGAGGGAGAGGCAGAGCCGAGGGAAGAAAAAGAGGGAAGGCACTGGGGAAGAGACCCTGTGGAGAGATAGGGAGGGAAGCCTGGGGGGCTGTGCTGGTGAGGTTAGAAGGGGGACTCATATTAGGAGACCCTGATAGGGTGAAGCAGAGGGCTGTTGGGATAAGGAAAGGACCTCGGAGGATGGAGTTAGGGGTGGGGGAAAAGGGGTGTGTGTGTGTGTGTGTGTGGGAAGGCCTGAGCTTTCAAAGCGAGCGTCCCTCCCCTCTGGTCCATTCATCTATCCTGGGCCTGGTCCGTGTTGACAGCCCTGTGTGAGGGGAACTCCACGTGCTCGGAGAATGAGGTGTGTGTGCGCCCCGGAGAGTGCAGATGCCGCCACGGCTACTTTGGAGCCACCTGTGACACCAGTGAGTGCCAAGGGCATGAGAACAGGGCCTGGGACTAATGCTACGGCTGTGGGGGGGGGTGATGGTGGTGGTGGAGGGAGTAGGGCTGTGCGTGAGCCCTTAAAGGGGCGGGGTTAGGAGCTGTTGGGGGAGGAGCTTAGGGCGGTGTAGCTGTGCCCAGAGAAGGGGTGGGACCTGGACTTTGGGGTGTGGGGCCTTCAAGGGCGTGTGGAGGCGAGGCTGAGCCGACCCCTGGGGCTTCCTCCCTCCTCCCCCGCCGCCCCCAGAGTGCCCGCCCCAGTTCTGGGGCCCTGATTGCAAGGAGCTGTGTATCTGCCACCCGCACGGGCAGTGCGAGGATGTGACCGGCCAGTGTACGTGCCACGCGCACCGCTGGGGTGCGCGCTGCGAGCACGCGTGCCTGTGCCAGCACGGCGCGTGCCACCCGCAGAGCGGCGCGTGCCGCTGCGAGCCCGGCTGGTGGGGCGCCCAGTGCGCCAACGCCTGTTACTGCAGCCAGACGTCCCAGTGCGACCCGCAGACGGGCGCGTGCCTCTGCCACACGGGCTGGTGGGGCCGCAGCTGCAACAACCAATGCTCGTGCAACGGCTCCCCCTGCGAGCAGTTCAGCGGCCGCTGCCAGTGCCGGGAGCGCACGTTCGGGCCGCGCTGCGAGCGCTACTGCCAATGCTATCGCGGCCGCTGCAACCCCGTGGACGGCACGTGCGCCTGCGAGCCGGGTTACCGGGGCAAGTACTGCCGCGAGACGTGTCCCGCCGGCTTCTACGGCCCAGGCTGCCGCCGCAGGTGAGCCCGCGCCGGCGGAGCGCCTGGGGTCGCCCCCCCGCCCCGCCCCCCCCCAGCGCTGGCTCTGGGGTCTCCCGAGTACTTTACACACCTTAGCACAGTCGCCAGGATCAGTATTCCCATGTTACGGCTAGGGAAACCGAGGCACAGAACGGTAGAGTGACCCAGCCAGGCCTCCCTGCACTGCCCACCCTCTCCCCTCCTGCCTTGGTCCCTTTCCTTGCCCCAAGGCAGATAGGCAGGTCGCAGCCTCAAGCCTAGGCGCCAGGAAGTCGGGGTCGCCTTTCCGGGGTGCAGGGGTGGGAGTGGGGAGGGAGGCGCCTGGCTTCCCGAGTCTCACTTCCTGTTCCCGGCCTGCCCGCAGGTGCGGCCAGTGCAAAGGCCAGCAGCCATGCACGGTGGCGGAGGGCCGCTGCCTCACCTGCGAAGCGGGCTGGAACGGGACCAAGTGCGACCAGGCCTGCGGGCCGGGCTTCTACGGGGACGGCTGTGAGCAGCGCTGCCCGCCCTGCCGCGACGGCCACACCTGCAACCACATCACGGGCAAATGCACGCGCTGCAACGCCGGCTGGATCGGGGACCGGTGAGGAGCCTGTCCCGCGAGCTTGCTGGGCACTGGGGCCCCGCCCCGTAGTAGTCTCCTCCCCCAGGATGGTCCCGCCCCCTTCGGCCAGTACCCCAATAGCTCAGACCCTGGAGCCGCCCCCTTCAAAGCCCCGCCCCTGGGAGCCTGCGGCCTGTCACAGCACGGCCTCCAGGAGCACGCCCCTTCCAGTAGCCCGGGAGCATGCCTGCCCCTCCCAGGCGATACCCTAACCCGGGAACACTAATAGTGGACACTATTGTCCCCCTAATAGTGGCTCTCCTCCATCGCACCTCCCAGCCCCACCTCTGGAGCCTGTCCATCATCGTGGCCTCGCTCCAATACAGCCTCTCACCCTTGGGAGTTAGTTCCACCCCCTAGGACGCCCCATTCAAGACTAGGGGCTCTCCTCCCCCCCGCGGTACTGTGCTTGGGTGGGTCTGTCTACTCCGCTAGCATCTGAAGTCCTAGGATCCCAGAGGTGAGCCGGACGTCAGAGGTCATTTAGTTCAGACTCCTGTTTGAAGGAGAAAGAATCAGGGGGCTCCTGGCCCCTCCATGGGGGTGGGGGCACCTTCTCGAGTCGCAGTCTTCACGGCCCTGAGCAGTCAGGTCCTCTCTGCCCAGGTGCGAGTCCAAGTGCAGCAATGGGACGTACGGCGAGGACTGCGCCTTCGTGTGCAATGACTGCAGTAGCGGCCGCTGCGACTTCCAGTCCGGGCGCTGCCTGTGCAGTGCGGGCGCCCACGGCCCCCAGTGAGTGGTGCTCCGGGGCCCTGTCCGGGGAGAGGGACCGGTGGCGTCTGAGGCGGAGCAGCCGTATTCTGGGCTCAGGGAGGGTCTGTTTGTGCCTGTGCAGGGGGCAGGGGCGCTCTGGGCCGGGGACACGGGGATGAGGGGGGGTGTCTGTGTCTGGGCAGGTGGCGGGGACACACTGCGCTAGGCTGGGGACACCAGGGATCTGTGTTCAATCTGGGGAGGGGGTGGCTATGTAGGGGGTAGAATGAGGGGGTTGTCTGTGACTGACGGATGTGCGGAGGTGGGGGAGGGGTGTGGGCAAGGGCGAACTATGCTCTGTGTTTGGGAACACCTGGGGTCTGTGTCCAGCTTGGAGATGGTGCCTTTGTGGGGAGTGGGAGAAAAATAGTGGGTAGGGCATGATCTGGCCAGGTGAAGGGGCAGACTGGGACTGTGCTCTGGACGACTAGGGTCTGAGTCTGGTATCCAGACGTCACAAGTAGTTGAAGACAGGAAGACCTGAATTAAAATTCTTCCTGAGAGGCATACTAGCTGTGTGACCCAGGACAAGTCACTTAATCTCAGGCTCAGTTTCTTCATCATCTGTAAATGGGGCTAATAAAAGCATAAGAGTTGTGGTGAGGATCAAAGATTATAATGTATGGAAAGCACTTTTCAAACCTTCAAACATCTTATTTGTAGCTAAAATAATAATTGTTATTAATTATTACTATCTGGGGGCAGTCTGTGTCTGGCCAGCATAGGGAGTGGGTATGTCCTGGGGGGGAAGTAGGTGAGGTGTGTGTGTGTATCTAGGCACCATGGTGGTGGCAGTGGGAGGGTAGAATTTTGTCTTGCCCTGTGAAGAAAGGGTATCTATGTATCTGGGCACAGTGGAGGGGAAAGTCCATGTCTAGGCAGATAGGGTGGCATCTGTGTCTCAGAGGGAGAAGAATAGTAGGTGAGTGTCTGTGTCTGTGTCTGGGCATTATAGGGATGGAGAGGGAATCTGATTCCAGGAACTCTGGATACCATGGGGGGAATCACTACCTGGGGAGGGAGGTTGTGTGCCTCTGGTCATTATCATCATGTCTCTGTCCAGCCACCATGGGTTACGGTTCTGTTCAATCACTACTGGGGAGTTCTGGGTCTGAGTGCTCTTCTGGGAACATTTTGGTTTGACTACTGTTGGGGTCTGGGCATGTTGAGGCAGTATTGGGCCTGAGGCCTATACTGGGTCTGGTGGCTCTGTGTTTGGGCAGTAATAATGGATCGAGGATTCTGTGCCTGGTCACTGAGGAATGTCTCCGTTTGGCCCCAACGGTGTGGGAGTGGGTGGGTACTGCTGGGATCCAGATACTTGGGGGGGCTCTGGATTAGGCACTATCCTGGGAAAGCCATCTGTGACTGGTTCCTATGGGGAGGGTCTTCCATAGGCTCTCTTCTGATAAATGGGTCTTCTGAAGGACAAGGGTGGGGCTGCGGTAGTGCCTGAAGATCAGACCCTCTGCCCTCACCCTAAGGCTGTCCTGTTTGAGGTGCTTATCCACAGGAGCAGTGGGCCTGCCAGTTACGTGGAGACTGACTGACAGGTTTATTTCATGTACCGTTCTCATTCAAATGGCATCTCCAGGAATGGTCCAACATTTCCCTTCTCTGTCCCTAAATGTCTGAGCCAGTGATCCGATTTGGGGGGGGGGCAGGGGCTGGTGGGAATAATAGGGCCTTTGTAAACATCTCAACAACCCTATGGGTGCCAGAGAAATTAAGTGACTTGCCCATGGTCACACAGCTAGGAAGTGAGTGTGTGAGGTGGGCTTTTCCTGCCCTCAAGTCCAGGGCTCTCATCACTGTGTGTGTCAGGCTGTCTGAGAATCGGGAGACCTGGCCTTGAACCCTGACTCCGACACCTACTAGAGTTTTTTTTGACTCTTGGCAAATCATTTCACCTTTCTGAGCCTCAGTTTCCCCATCTGCATAATGGGCATATCAATACTTGTATTAGCTACTTCATTGGGTTATTTTGAAGCTTAAATGAAATAATACATGTAGAGCACTTTGAAAACCTTATATACTGTTTAAATGTCAGCCACTACTAATACTATTGCTGCTGCTGCTGCCACTACTACTACTACTACTACTACTACTACTACTACTACTACTACTACTACTACTACTACTGCAGCTGCTACTGTTGCTTCTTGGGCCAGGCTGGGTCTGAGGTTGGGTACCATGTTTGGTTCCCAGCTGGGCCCAGTCTGGTCCTAGAGCAGAAGACACTGGGCAGATGCCAGCCAGCTGCCAGCTCTTTGCCTGGGGCACCCATTAACAGGAGCTGTTTGGATCGAAACAGCTCCTGTCCCAAGGGAAAGGCTCTGGCTTCCCGCTTGGGGAAGAGTCCAGGCTCAGACCCAGAGCTGCATTCTGTAGGGCCAGGCTGGCTGTGCTGCCACAGGTAGGGCCTGTCTTCCTGTCTCACCTGTGACCTGGAGCTCTTTCCTTAGCTGTGACCTCAGCTCTCGCCTGTGACCTTGTTCCTGCCTGTGACCTCCTTCTCTTCTGTGACCTCCCTCTCGCCTATGGCTGTTCAACCTCGGGCAAGTCCCCTCTAATCTCTGGGCCTCAGTTTCCTCAGCTGTACAGTGGGTGCTTGTGTATATGTGTGTGTGTGTGTATGTGTGTGTGTGTATGTGTGTGTGTGTGTTTGGAGGGTGGGGTTGGACAAAACACATTCTAAGCACTCTGATTTTAGCAGCCCTGTTTTTTCCTCTGTGACCATTTTCTTCTGGGGAATTGTCCCAATAGCAAAGCGTCCATGGATGACCCCACCCTTTGTCCCTCGACCTGCCCCCCAGATCTGCCCACTTTCTTCCTCCCTTCTGCTTTGTGTGGTTACGTACCTACGTAGGGCTACATTTTTCAATGCAGGCCTGCTCTAGCCATCCCCAAACTTGGGCGAGCTGACACAAGTGAACCCACCAAGACCAGGTAGAGGCCAGAAGGGTGACCTGTGGAGGACATTCCCAACCCTCCCTTGGTACCCGGGCAGATTCCCTCTATGGCTTTTTCCTCTCGGGGCCCAGCTGATGAGCTCCTGGATCTCGAGGCTGGACCCCCGTGGCTGCGGCTGGCTGACTGCTTCCCTCTCTGTCTAGAAGGGAATGCAGCTGACCACATGTATGGGGAAGGTCCCTGAGCATGCAGAGAACCGTGGGGAGGGGAGTGTTCAGCAGCCTCCCTGCTGTTGCTGGGTTGACGCCGCTGCCCCTGCTTCCACCGTGCCACCCCCAGTGGGTCCTGTGGGTCCCTCTCAGCCCCTCTCCTCCTCCCGGCAGCTGGAGCTGGGAAGGCCAGGCTGCTCCCCCGTCTGCCCACAAGTTCCTGGATCTGTGGCAGACCCTCCCTCCCCTCTCCTCTCCCCGCAGCTGTAACCTGACGTGTCTCCCAGGCCACCACGGAGTGGACTGTGCCCAGACGTGCAGCTGCCATGAGGATACGTGTGACCCCGTGACGGGTGCCTGCCACATGGGTGAGCCTGGCCCGGGCCCTGCCGGGGTGAGCCCCTTCCTTGGCCTGGGCTGCAGGAGAGTTTGTTCAGGGACAGGATCTCAGTGGGACATTCTGCTCTCTTACTGGGGCCTGGGTTTGAATCCTGGCTCCACCACTGGCTAGTTTTCCCCATTGTGACCTCCATCGCCAGGGCCCTTGCCTGCTCGGATGTTCTCGGCCTGCAATGGAGCTCACCCTCCTTCCTGGGCCCAGGGGAGGCTGGGCCTCTTCCCCAGAGACCCAGGGACTGAGTGGGGGCATTCCTCCTCTTCCCACAGAGACCAACCAGCGCCAGGGAGTGATGGGGGCTGGGGCCCTCCTCATCCTCCTCTTGGGTCTGCTCCTCTCGCTGCTGGGTTGCTGCTGTGTCTGTCGGAGCGAGGACCCTGGCCGCCAGTAAGTCTGCCCTTTCCTTCCTCCCCGCTGCCCTGGGAAATCGGCGGACAGAGCCAAGGCTCTGGAGCCGGGGCAGCTGGGCTCAACCCCCGGGTCCCAGCCCCTGTGTGGCTGTGGGCAAGGCCCGTCTCTCTGAGCCTCAGTGTCTTCATCTGCAAAATGGCAGGACTGGACTGGATGGTTTCTAGAAGCTGTCTAGCTCTGAAATCCCAGAAATCCGATGACGGGACAGCGGGCCCAGGTCCCTGGGCCAAGCGGATCACCGTCAGGCTGAGTCTTTCTCCCTTCGTGTCACAGGGATTGTCAGCCAAGGAGGAAAAAGAATCCCCAGCGTCTCTGCGGCCGCTTCAGCCGCATCAGCATGAAGCTGCCCCGGATCCCCCTGCGGAGGCAGAAGCTGCCCAAGGTTGTGGGTAAGGCTGGCAGCCAGGGCTGGCTGGCGCAGCACTCTATTAAACCCAGGCACTGTGGTAGGCTGGGAGGATGCAGAGAGAGCGGTGAGACGGTCCCTGCTTTCAAGGGGCTGTCTGCCCTCCCCTCAGCAGCCTCCTCCTCAGACGGGAGACCTGTGGCCGGGGAGGCCCTAACTTCATCCAAGCCTTCCTGCGGTGGGGACGGATGTGGTGGCTGGTGGGGCCGGGTGCAGGAGGAGCCACCAGAATGGGGAAGGGGCTGAAGACCGGGTCTTAGCAGGGTTGCTTCAAGGAACTGTGGGTGTTTATGAGTGGGGAGGAGCTTGACTTCAGTGTTGCAGTCTGAGAAGGGGCCTTCGAGCAAGGTTATTGTTCGGCCTTCCTTTTGGAAGAGGGCTGGGGACCCCCGGGCAGCATCTTGGCTTGGCTCCCTTGAAGTGAGGCGAGGTGTGCCAAGTCGTCAGCCTCACTCTCGCCTCCCGAGCCAGTGGCAGGACAGACGTCCACACGACCATGTGGGACAGAACATGTCCACACACAGAGACGTCCTGGTGCTGGCCCGGCTGTGCCCCCACTCTGGCATGCTGGTCTGCCTTGCCTCTCCTCCGGGTTTCCCCGGCCTACTGCAGGGCTCAGCTCGAACCCCACGTCCCAGGAGGCAGCAGCCTTCCCCTCTCATCCTGCTGCATCTGCTCTGTCTACACCTTCCGTGGACCTTGTCCTCTCGCCCTTTAAAATGTCAGCTCCTCGAGGGTGGGGGTCTCTCCGATGCTTAGCTCCCAGTGCCGGGCACACAGTAAGCGCTTAATCCGTGCCTTTTGGTTGCTTGGTAGAGGTCTGGATTTGCACCCTTCCTCTGGTGTAAGCTGGCTGGGTGACCACGAGCCTTAGTTTGTTTTTGTATTAAATGGGGATGATGATGCCTGTAAGGAGAGGCATTGTCATGTAGGGCTGTCAGGTTGTCATGGGTTCAAGCCACCCCTCTCACACATATGGACCACGTGTGGGCCCCTGGCTGAGTCACTTCATCTCGTAGTGCCCGGGATGCTCTCACTGATTCAAAGCGTGGGCAAATGCTGCTCTGGGCTGAGTGTACAGAGACAAGAAACAGTCCTGCCCTCAGGGAGCTCACTGACACATGCGTGTTCATGTAGATACAAACTAGATTTTGGTAGGGGAGGTGTTAGAAGCTGGGGGCATTAGGAAGGGCTTCCAGGAGGCAGCGTCACTGGAAGCAAGCTTGGAAGGAAACTAAGCTTTCTGAAAGGCAAAGGTGAGGGAAGCCGGGGCAGTTTGGCTGGACCTTGGCGTGCAGGGAGGAGAGCGATGCATAAAAGGGCTGGAAAGGGAGGGTGTGCTAGGCAGCTCTCCGAACGCTTGCTCTCTTGGGCAGAGGGAGCCCCCTCACCTGGCCCGTGGTTCCCTGTCCCGAGGAACTGACAAGTTTGGTCCGTATCATTATGTTGTTACTTTTCTTCGGGGCAATATGTGGCTGTGTTTTCTTCTATGGAGGCTGTGCATGAGAAAACCAAGCAGCAGACACAGTTTCATCGGTGCCTTTTGTCTGTCCATCCCAATTCCCCACTCCCTTCTTCAGACTGAGCCCCACCCCACCCCACCCCGTATATGCATAGCCCTTGTGTATGCACTCTTCTGTGCCCTGAGGCCCTCACCTCTCTGGCCATGGCAGGGAGGGGATATGGTTTGCTCTCTCCTCCTGCTCCATTCATTTTTCCATCATTCCGACTCTGGCTTGCTTTGCGCAATCTTTTCATGTCCATGGCCCCAGTCACTGGGTAGATGAGCCTCTTTGATCTGCTTATGTGGCCTGCATGAGTCCGTAGAAATCATCTTTTGTTTCTGTAATTTCTGTGATTCATCATTTCTTATGGCACAAGAATATCTCATCACATTCATGTTCCATAGTCTTTTTTTTTTTCTTCAGCTATTTCCTCATCATGGGCACCATTTTTGTTTCCAGGCTCTTTCTTTCTTTCTTTCTTTCTTTCTTTCTTTCTTTCTTTCTTTCTTTCTTTCTTTCTTTCTTTCTTTCTTTCTTTCAGAAATACTGCTGTGAATGATTTTGGTCTATATGGGACCATTGTTTCTGTCTTTGACTCCTTGGGATAGGGGGAGGCCTGTATACCCAGGAGTGGAGTTGCCAGGTCAAAGGGCATGGATAATTGAGTCACTTTCTTTGCATAATCCCAGACTGAAATCCAGAGGAGTTGGACCACTTCCCAGTTTCAACAACAGTACATCAGTGTGCTTGGTTTTTTCCAAGCTAAAATTTTTTTGTTAGGCCAATTTTATTCTTTAAAAGATAAAAAAAAAAGCTAGCTGGGGTCTGATTCTCTCCTACACAGAGCAACTGGTTACTGATATAGAAATTGGGACAGCTTGGCAGGGATGAGACCACTCCATCCTGGAACATGTGAGGGTCGAGGAGGGCCAAGTAGGGTCCGAGGTAGACATTGGAGTTTAGGAAAGCAGATTTCAAAGGTGTGCGGGGAATGACAGGCAGAACCCTGTGGCCTAAAATGAAGATTGTCAGACCAGGAAGAAGGGGACGCTCCCAAGAATAAAATCCTGAGGACATGAAGAGAAACAATCCCAATGAGTAGAAAGGGTGGGTTGTCTAAAGAGACCAATGTGGGTTCGTAGGAAGCCGATACAACACCTTGGATGTTTAAAGGCATTCCTATGGAAGCTGGAAGAACAGGGCAGAGGTGTATGTATGCTTGTGTGCCCAGAGAAGCTGTCCTGGGCCACCTCCAGGGCTGAGCTGAGGCAGGCAGGGGGCAAGGGCAAATTAAACCTTGCTGTTTTTCCCTTTCAAGATGTAGCAAGGGTAATGAAGGCCATTAATGGAGGAAAAAGATGAGAAGGCAGAAGTACTCAGCTCGTTTTGATCCTATTTCCTCTGCCAAGGAGAATCTTGTCTGGACTAGAAGGGACAGGGCAAAGAAAGCCTGCGGGGAATCGAAAGCTGAGAGAGAGAAGGAAGGAGGGGGCAGAAGGGGACAGACTTTTTTTTGTTTACTTGTTTTCATTCTTGTCTTTGTGACCTCATTTGGGGTTTTCTTGGCAAAGATCCAAGAGTGGTTTGGCATTTCCTTCTCCAGCTCATTTTACAGATGAGGAAACTGAAGCAAGCAGGGTGAAGTGACTTGCCCAAGGTCACACGGCTAGGAAGTGTCTGAGGCCAGATTTGAATTCAGGTCCTCCTGATTCCAGGGCTGCCCAAACGTTTGTTAAGCACCCACCATGTGCCAGGCACTGTGCTGAGCATCTCACTTCCTAGAAAGAGAGCAGAGGCCACGGGTGACCTGCAGTGCGCAGGCCTGGAGGAACTGTGTCCTCAGACACCGAAGCAACTGGGAGATTTGATTCCTGAGCCCCTGTTGGTGATTTCTGCAGAATCATGATGTGCCAGAGAGGTGCCGCAGCCCGGGACAGAGTCGAGACTAGTGCGCTCGACCTGCTACTGGGTGGCCAGCACATCCATCCGGGACTAGAGTTTGAATCCTGCCTCAGGCACTTACCAGCCATGTGACCTCGGACAATTCACCTGACTTCTTGTTGCCTCAGTTTCTTCATTTATAAAATGGGAATAATAGTCCTTAGCTCCCAGAGATGTTCTCAGAATCAAATGAGATACCGTCTGTAAGGCGTTTCAGAAAACTTAAAGGGGTACATAAAACTATTATTATTCCTTGGCAAAATTATAGAACGTATTATTAAAGGGATGGCCAGTAAGCATCTGGAAAAGGAAGCAGTGACAAGGTCTCCAGTGGAGTGTCTCAGGGGCCTGTGCCCTAGCCTGGGGGGCTGTGCCCCAGAGGTCTGTGCCCTAGTCTGGGGGGCTGTGCCCCAGGGGCCTCCGCTCTAGTCTGGGGGGGCTGTGCCCTAGTCTGGGGGGTCTGTGCCCCAG